TAATAGTAAAACATTTGTTAATTACCACACAATCCATCAATACAAACTGCAATTCATCTTCCTTAAATGCATTCCGTCCATTTTTTTCATAAGCTGACCAAATGTTACTAGTAATAGCTGCCGTTACTCTTGCATCTTTATCTCCATAACCACTATAAGCTAATAAACCACCATCTCTATTTAATAATCTGAAACATATTGCATTATATTAAAAAAAAGAAACATTGTTAAATTTTAGTCAAAATTGCTTACAACGTATTTTCTACGCCGCCTGTATTGGCTTGACTAAGTACTTGTGTCAGAGCTTTTGGTTTCAACATAATTTCACAAATAATAAATACAAATTTTTCTTTTTTGTTATTTTCCACAAATTACGTTTAATTATTTTTGTAGTATGGGTTGTATTAAATATTAATAAAGTAAGAACATTAATTTATATTATCAGATGTTGTACGCCATTTCACATACAAACACTACCGCTGACAAATAAATTACAATGTCTCTAGGACGAAAAAATTGTACGATACCAATTTATTACTAAAGAAACTTAAAGTTCTAGCATATGCCGTCCACATTTCACGGCTCATGCAAAGCAGCTATGAGGTCCACCCTTCATGATTCTCATGTGAATTCCCTCACTCTAGTTTACGTATTTACCCATATACATATTCGGAACGAACTAAATGTAACCATAATCATAATTTTACTTTATATTTAAATATAGTTCATACCTATTGTAACATAGGATAATCACCTCAATCTACTGTTAAATTGTAATTTATATATCCAAAATGATCAACGTAGTACATGTGAAACACCAAAAAAGCTCAAATATTATTCTCTTGTTCACTAATTATCCGTTAATTATTTTTCCGTTATGCGAGATGGTCCACGTACGTTTTCCGAAACAGCATGTGGTCATTCAGGTTCTGACTCTCAGAATCCGCGAACCTTGATAATTATTAAACATAAATCCACATGTCGCTAAAACGACCGACCGGGTCAAAATGATTTATTAGCGATTTTGTTGAATCCCTAGAACTAACCAACATACAGAAGCGATGATTCTATCACAATATTCCATTTCACATAGGACCACCGCCGCTGTGCGTTTATGTTAGCTCTAGGGATTCGGTAAAGCAATGCATCTTAATATATATAAGTTTTTAAACGTTGGCAGTCGGCATGTAGCACTTATGCTCCATATAATAATATCAAAAGGTAAGAATAGTAAAATGTAAAATTATTTGACTGATTTCATAATTATAAGCTATTGAATTTATTTCAATTGATTACTCTCATATATATTTGATACCGCATTTAACCAGTAGCTTGCAGCACAGTTATACATTATCGTTGAACTTCATTAGTAATTTTAAATGTTCTTATTGTCAGTTTAAATCTTCATGCGTAATTACTATTATTACGATCACTATTCAATTTAATAGACCACTACCAAATAATTGTTATTAATGAACATGAACATTAGTATTCATTGCTATAAAATCGTGTGCTGTGATTCCTTTTTAAATTCAAATATTAGATAATTTATGTATATTGTTCTAAAAAGTATACATATCTTCAATATTTAACTTCCGTGAGTGATATTGTACAAGAAAGCATATATTTTGAGTAATATTTTGCTGTACATGGTCTAGTTGACACAAAATCATAGTTAGTGTCTTTAACTTTTTGCAGATATTGAAGTATTGCAGAAAAATGTTAAGAATGTTCAGTATATCACAAAATTCTTACTTACGTCAGTTTGGATTCAGACAATATCTAAGGCATTGTAACTTTTATTCCAAAAGAAATGTAGCTTCTAATGTAACAAACTGTGAAACAAATGTACTACACCACGAAGCCAGTAAATTTCAAAAGGGACAAATTATTCATGGTTTCATAGTAGATGAAGTTGCAAAAATAGATGAAATATATCTAACTGCAATACGATTAACTCACTTGGGTACTGGGGCACAATATTTGCATTTAATGAGAGATGATAGTAACAATGTGTTTTCTGTTGGATTTCGTACAACACCAGAAGATTCTACAGGTTTACCTCACATTTTAGAACATACTACCCTTTGTGGTAGTGAAAGATATCCATGTAGAGATCCATTTTTCAAAATGTTAAGAAGATCATTAGCTACATTTATGAATGCCATGACAGGACCTGATTATACTATATATCCATTTTCTACACAAAACTTAAAAGATTATCGAAATTTACAATCAGTATATCTAGATTCTGTATTTAAACCAAATTTGAGAGAACTTGATTTTAAACAGGAAGGATGGAGATTAGAACATGCAGATATAAATGATAAAAATTCACCTATAGTTTTTAAAGGAGTAGTTTTTAATGAAATGAAAGGTGTTTTCAATGAAAATCAGACTATATTATCCGAACAATTATTGAACCGCATTTTACCTAGTCATACATATGCAGTAATTTCTGGAGGAGATCCTTTAGTTATTCCTACTTTAAAATATAATGATCTGCTTAATTTTCATCTAACATATTATCATCCTTCTAATTCTCGATTCTATTCATATGGCAATTTTCCATTAGAAGATCATTTAAGATTTATTAATGACCAATACCTGTTTCTAATGGATAAGATAGATACGTACATGTCAGAAGTTCCTTCAGAGAAACGTTGGGACATTCCAAGGAAAGAACATGTTACATGTAGACCAGATCCTATGGTTGCAGATCCTAATCGACAAGGCAGTATAGCAATTGGTCATTTGTGTAATGACATAACTGATATACAAAAGACTTTTGAAATGCACATTCTATCTCAACTTCTTTTGAATGGTCCAAATTCAGCTTTTTATAAGTCTTTAGTAGAATCAAAAGTAGGAGTTGCTTTTGGCCCAATGACAGGATATAATTCTTTATGTAAGGATACCATGTTTGTTGTGAGTTTGCTTGGTGTTAAACGAGAGGATTTTGAGAAAGTAGAAAAGATCTTTGATGAAACTGTACAAAATGTTATTGAAGAAGGTTTTAAAGAGGATCATATTGAAGCTGTTTTACACAGTATTGAACTTAAAGTAAAACATCAAACTTCTAGTTTTGGATTACAATTACTTTTCAATTTATCACCATTATGGAATCATAATGGAGATCTTATACAAGCAATGAGAATTAATGAAGCAATCATAAAATTCAAAGAAAAAATAAAAACCAATCCCAAATATCTCCAAGAAATAGTAAAAATGTACTTAATGGATAATAATCATAGATTGACATTAACAATGTTGCCATATGAAAAATATGATCATGAAAAAGCAGTTGCTGAAAGGGAATTATTAGAATCTAAACTGAAACAGCTTTCCAAAGAAGAATTAAATCAAATTTATATTGATGGAAAAATTTTACTTGAAGAACAACAAAAGCAAGAAGATGTAAATGTTCTTCCTACTTTAAAAATAGAAGATATAAAAGCAGATGTAGAACGATATAATTTAGAGGATGTAAAGGTGGTTAATGTACCTTTACAAATAGCTACTGAACCAACAAATGGTGTTTGTTACTATCGAGGAATTCTTAACACTCAAGGGTTAGCACTAGAATTAAAAACTTTATTACCACTTTTTAATAATATTATTTCAAAGATGGGTACAAAAAATTATGATTATAGAAATTTCGATCAAATGATAAGATTGAAAACTGGAGGCTTAAATTTTATGAATCATATTGTTGAACATAAAAATAATTTATTACAATATGAAGAAGGAATACTAATAGAATCTTATTGTTTAGATCGTAATGTGAATGATATGTGGAAACTGTGGTTAGAACTGTTTAATAATATCAAGTTGTCAGATATTGAAAGATTTACAACACTTGTTAAAATAAATGCTGCAGATTTAGTTAATGGAATTGCAGATTTAGGACATTCCTATGCAATGAGTAGTGCTGCCAGTTTGGTTTCACCAGTTACTAAATTCAAGGAAACTTTGTCTGGATTAGAATATGTTTCAAGAATGAAAAAAATAGCACAAATGCGAGATTTAAGTTCTGTATTACTTCAAATGCAAGAAATATCTCATTATATTTTAAATAAACAATATTTGAGGTCAGCAATAAATTTATGTGAAAATAACAAACATAAAATATTAGAAAGTATTACTGATTTTTATAGTGCATTGAAAGGCACACCTACAAATACATATACCTTTACGCATGATCAAAACATTGAAGTTGAAGATAGTGCTATTCACTATGTATTACCATATACAGTAAACTACACAGCTAAAGCAATATTTACCATCCCATATACCGATCCAGATTATGCACCTTTACAAGTACTTTCTAAGTTAATCACATCACATTATTTACATCCAGAAATTCGAGAAAAAGGTGGAGCTTATGCTGGTGGTGCTATATTATCATTAAATGGAATTTTTGCATTTTATTCTTATAGAGATCCTAATTCTACTCGTACCTTAGATTTATTTGAAAAATCTTATGACTTTTTGTTAAAGCATCCACTACCTGAAAGTTATATTGATGAAGCAAAATTAGGAATATTTCAACATCTTGACGCACCAGTTTCTCCAAACAATCGCGGAATGATTAAGTTTAAATATAATTTAACAGATGATGATATTCAAGAACAAAGACAAAGATTAAAAACTGTAACAAAAGATCAGCTTTTATATGTTGCTAGCAAATATTTGCAACCTGATCAGAAACATATTAAAGTAGGACGTGCATTGATTGGACCAGTTAATCATGATTTATTAAATAGGCATTCAGAAAATTGGAGGGTTGAAAATCAAAAAGAAGAAACTCAAGCAAGAGCAGTTGAATGAACTTTCTATTAAAATAAATGTATTGTCATTATGTGTTCATATATACATATGCATGTTCAGAAAATAATTGCTGTAATTTTCACAATGATTTTTGCAATGTACTAAAAAATATCTGTAAAATAAATATTATAAAAATTACATTTATGCAAGTTTATCATTGTAGAAAATATTATAATTGCATTTCAGTACAAACATTTTCCTTTAAATTAGATGGCATGTGTAAGAGAACATACAGAAAATATATACTTCTTGGATGCATTGAACTTGTTTATTGAAACACAGTGGCTTTATAATACTCCTGTTACTGATTTGTTAACTAAAGGATTACTTGATTTATTTCCAAAACAATGGTTGAATGTTTTGCAAACTTTAGAAAATGAAGAACTTAATGATTTTGTTGTGAGAAAGATAACAAAGGTTGGTAAATAAATGTAATAAAATATGTAAATAAATTTTATTTACATTAATTTTTTATAATATGAAAATATTTTATTTTTTTCAGCCACAGTGGTCAGAAACTTTAAAGAATTTTGTTAATAAATGCAGCTGCATTAATCGACTACCAACTATGAACACTATGCTGTCAACAAAATTACCAAAAAACCTTCAAATAGGACTTAGTTTAAAAAAACAACATGAAATAATACATTTGACACATTTGATACACACGCAGTGTGCACCACAGAATATTAAAATTATTGTTGATTTGGGTACAGGCTTGGTAAGAAATTCGTGTTTGAATAAACATGCTACTAATAAAAGATATTTGCATTTATTTTTTAAATTATCCTATAAATGTTTTCATTACAGGGGTATATTTGTCAATTATTGTTCCATTTATATGGATATCAAGTTCTTGGACTTGAAAAAAATCAAGCAATTGTAAATAATGCTCGAAATAGGCAACTTAAAATGTATCCTGATTCATTAGCATATGTTAAATATAACTGTTGTGATTTAACACACAATTCGGTTGAAACAATAGAAACCATTTTATATAATGAATTTCGGGAGAAGTCAGATGTTTGTTTAATTGGCTTACATGCCTGCGGGGATCTTAGCATACATGCATCGAAAATATTTCGAGATATGAAAGCGGCACGTGTTTTTATTATGGTTCCTTGTTGTTACCATAAACTTTCAATATCAAAAAATATAAAAATAAATACATCAAATGAAAAACAATACTTTCATAATTTTCCCTTATCTAGTTGTCTTAAAAGTGCAATTAATAATAATAACTTTGATATTGGTTTTTTTTTGAGACAACCATTTTTACGGTTAGCATGCCAAGAGCCAGCAGATAGATGGTGTAATATGTCTATTAAAACACACAATGAACATTCTTTTTATGTTCTTGCAAGGGCTGTCCTTCAGTTATATGCAGCTAAAAGTGCGTATCACATTCTTTTACTTGAAATGTTTATTTAACTTTAATGTAAAATGAAAAATGTTTTAGATGGATTCTTTCTTAAGAAACGTAATCGTAAAGGAACAAGAAAATCCCAATGTTTAAATTTTGAAACTTATGTTAGAGATTCATTACACAGATATATTTTACAACCATCAAAAGGGGATAAAGTTGAAGAACAAGGTAATGTTGCAAAATATTAATATTAAATAATTAGAAGTTTGTTTATAAATAATAAGCAAAAGTATAAAAAGATACCTTTTATACATACATACATACGTATTTATTTCTCTTGTATTTTATGTCATAGAAAAATTTCATAATATTGCTTTTTAGATGTACAGTCCAATCTTGACATGCATGAAAAAAATATAATGCAATTATGGAAAGTTCACTGTAATAAACTAAAAATTGTAGAAATGTACACTGGTTTACAATTGATGTTGCAAGCGCCAGCAGAGTCGTTTATTTTACAAGATCGATTATGTTGGATGGCAGAACAGGGTTTAGAAGCAAAAATTATTCCAGTTATGAATAAACGTTTATCCCCACGTGCATATGCAATTGTATCTCGAAAAAGGCAATAAATATTGTGAATAACGGTTTTATAAATCGTATTTTTATGTAATTAATGTTTTATTTCTATATATACAGAATGTCACCAACTCTGTCCACTTCAAATATCTCCATTATTTCAAGAAATAAGTGAAAACATTATTTACAAAAGTTATATGATTGCAAAAAAAAAATATAATATAATATGGTGGCAATAGTTCCTTTGCTGGTGGAGGCATAGAAGAGATGAGGAAGTTATTTTGTTTTTTTAAATGGAATGTCCAATTTTTTATGGTCAAATTTGATAGCATTGCGAATTTTGAGTAAATAATGGAGATATTTGAGGTGGACAGAGTTAGTGTGAATTTTAATTTATATTTTTCAAAGAGACCAAGTAGTTATGTTAGGAACAGCAAGGGGACGATTTTATGATACATTTAGAAATCGTGAATTTTGATTTTTTAAAACGTTTTATTACTTTCAGTAGGCCGGCCTGCAGCCAATATGCAGCATATAGAAACTTTCAATTATTAAAGGTTCGGTCATTGTTCAGTTCAATCAAGCAAGGTATCAAAGTCACATCGCAAAGGGTACTTCGAAGACATATGTTTGTACCGAGCTTCGCCTTCGGTAATTCATAGAAGGTCGAAGGTGCAGAGTTGACTTGACGGGATTTTTCCCCTTATTGCCAAATTTCTTTCCGCCAAGAACCATCCTCGTCATTCCCGCTCCAAGGACATCTCGCGCTACGGGTGCACTGGAAGGGGGGTGATGCAGGGTTGGTTAATTTTCCAAATTAAAAACCTCCCTTCATGTGCCTTTCTCAAGACGGAAATGAATGGGAGAAAAGGCAAGTCACCAATAATTAGTGAAGAAGCAAACATGCTAGAGTCTGCACAGTCAGATCTAAGGATGGTCTCGGGCTTCCTTATGACTATGTTGGGCTCATCAGATTATAGATTGACAATCAGAGAGAAGAAAGAACATCAAGTAGATAGCACACTTCTATTTAGGATGAGCGAGTGGGACTCAAGCTTCCAACCGTCTGGATCCTTTCTCCATCAGACCCTTGCTAAATTCTTCTATTACTTATATGAAGATGAGTCTTTTTTCTCATCTCTTCCCAGTAAGTGGAATGTTTCAGTCTTGACAGATCCAAAGGATCAGCTAATGTTATCAATGTCACTCCCGGAAGTCGGGATTACACATTCTGTCGGGGAAATTGTAGAGAAATTAACTCGCATAAAGAAACCAACACAGCAAAACAAAAACTACCATAAAGGTTTTTCAAAAATTAATCGAGCCTGATAAAGCAGATAGTCACAACAGTCTGAATGACCAAGAAGACGAAGACGAAGACCTTGAACTAGAGTTAGTGCCAGATGAAGTAGAAGAGGTTGATCATGTCAGTGATCAGGACATACAAGAGACTATAGCAGGAGCAGATCTTGAAGACTCCGAGCACGATAGTGAATTACCATCTATACCACCTGACTCTCGAGATATAGTAAAAAATTTCGTATTAAAATCAAAAAGACCCTCTGCTAATTTATCAGAGTTTATCGTTATCAGAGTTACCTACCGGTTACTAAGATCTTCCCCTCTGGTATATAAAAAAGTCAATCAGAAAAAACCATCAATATTCCAACTCTTCTCTTAATTCGCCGAAATAAATCAGTTAAATAGAAATCAGTCTATCAGTTATACATACATTAATATCTTAGATGGCATAAAGTGCAATATTCGTAAGAACGCAGAATCAGAGTCCGAGAGTTTAACAAGTTATATTATTTCTTATATATTTCATAGAAAAAGGTTAATATTAAACTAATAAAGAAATAGAATTAACGTTCCTAAAGTAACATTCTTAAAAATTGAATTTCTATATTTATCTGTATGGATGGATTTGTGATGCTGCTTTAATATTAGTTTTGATTGCACTTGGAGCTTTACTCATTTGTCCCACTACAAATACAAAAAATATGTAGTTATTATTACAAATTGAAATTTTAATTAAAAAATATTATTGAAGGATTAAGAAAAGTATGACAGATATCTTACTAGATTGATTTCCTAGAGATCCTTGTCCTGAAGTTTGTTGATTTCCAGGCCTACCTACCATCATTCCACTAGGTACCGAATTTACACCAGACTGAACCATTTGGACAGAATCAGACTGTAATAAATAAAAATTTAAAATATTTCATAATGGTATTATGTACATAAGTGGTGTGCCCTTGGCTGAAAAGGAAAGTCATGGAAGTATATGAGAAAACAAGGTGTTGTGTGAAACTGAACGAGCGCAAAGGAACTACTTCTTGGACGACGTGGGAGGTAAGACACATATGTATGTGTTTATGTAGACAATATATAAGGAGTGCTATATTTAACAAAGAATTTACCTTTAAACCTTTACCCATACCCACAGCTGCTACAAGAGCATGAGTGTCTGCCGTACTACTAGTCTGCGCTTGAGTTGCTCTAGACCCAGCTTCACTTTCCCATTCTTCGCGTGCTTTATTTGCTATATCCCATACATGATTAATAACTTTTGTATACTGAGCCACTTGTTTCTGAAAATTATGAAGTTTATCCATATTTTAGAAAACAAGTGATATTTAGCGTTCCACTCGCTAAATGGACCGGTTACAGAACTTTATAATTTTCTAAACTGTTAGAGGAAAGTTATTCATACAAATCAGGATAGAAATACTTAAGTTATGTTTAAATTTTTACATATATAAACTTAATATATTGGTATTCAAATGGATATTAAAAAATATACTTTAAATATAAAAATAAAAACATAAAACATATTTTTACAGAATATCTTTAAAATATCAAAATTATTCGATGTATAATTTATAACTATTTTAATTTCAGTCCAAAGCGAATGGAACTAATAAAATCTGAAAGCTAGCTGATAGTAGCTTACATTGCAGTCCTGTTGTTTAGTTAGCACATTAAAAGAGAAATAGAACATCTTAAATTATCTTTAAGCTTCTACTATATGATAATACAGAAATACAATTATTTCTTTA